ACATTTTTAGTAATACATTGTACATGGTTTGACTTAAAAAGTTAAAAGTGGTAATGTGCTAAATGGGTGCGTCTCCCCTGAAGAGCATGTGGATTTGGTGAAGGTTGAAAAGATAAGTTGGCAAATGGGGATTCACGAAGGGGGCAATAATGCACGCACGTGGATTCGAATTAAATATATGCTCCATTTTTATAACTGTGGTTATGAGTAATGAGTAATATCCTTTTTTTTTCTTGTTTGGGTAAATGTCTTACACCCTTTTCATTTCTTCACAAATATAACCCAAGATTTCCATATTTTTATTTTCTATTAAATGTTCTATTACTATCATCTACCTACTCCCTTTTTTTTTTTTTAATAATTATTTGAGGTATTTAAGTCTATATTAGAATTTGTCTAATTTTCAAGACCACTAAATACTCTACAAGCCCAATAAATTAAGATAATTACACAAACATTAGGAGTGTTCAGTTCTGGACACCTTGTATTTTTTTAAGGAACCAGAACCGACGGTTCCAGAATTGGAGCCTGTAACAATGATTCTGGTTCCGATTTTGGGTACCCTATAAAATTGCAATGACCCTCTAAAAGTTTTTAAAATGATAAAAAAAACCCTTAAAAACTTTGGAACTTGTTAACAAAAATAAATTACAAATTATAAACTCCATTACTTTGTAAAGATAGATTCTCAAAAGTCAAACCAACTTACTTTAAATATTATGAAATATAAATATAAATGTATTCACATTACGTTTTCTATAAAAGTTTTTATTAATTCCCTACTATATAATTTTATTTTATATTAGTCGCGGTTTCCGGTTTCGGTTTCTAACTATAAGAACTGGAACTGGAACTGGAACAGCACAGTAACGATTCCAAAAATTTGGAATCGGAACCTACCCGTTGACTGTCGGTTCCGAGTAGGAACCGAAACCAAACCCCGGGTACCCATCGGTTTTGGTTCCAATCGGTTCTTTTGAACACCCCTAACAAATATAATAGATATCTCTCATGTGACTCAATACAAGACATTCTAGGTATAACTAATCCCAGCTGGTTAAAGGGTTTGTCATCCGACCACAAGAGGAGAGGTTACCCTTTTTGTTTTGGCTCCCCCCATACAACCAATTCCCATATTAACATTTTACAATCTGATATTTACCTTTCGTTGACTCATTTAAGCACTTTTTAAATGTGAAATTAGTTGATTAGTAAGCATAATAACATGTTTAAAGAGTGAAATGGCCATCCATCAGGCAGCGGGACCATTGTGCACTAAAGGTGGGTTTAAGTACATTAGAAAAGCAGAGAAACAAAGGCTTAGAGATAGAGTAGACTGCGTTTCTATTGCTTTAAATTATTATTATTTTTCCTCCTACCGTTAAAGGTTTGGTTGTTGGATAACTAGAGACCGTCTAATTGGTATGGTCCTCACTTCTCTCATATTAGTGAACCTAATTGGCCCTTCATGGATTCAATGCAATGCAGAAGAAGATAGCAGAAATATTTTAAAAGGCTCCAAATGGTTTACTGATCTGTGATTTTTGCTTTCAAAATCAACACATAACTACTACTTTATCTCTTTATATTTGAATAGTGGGACCTTGCATTGGTTATGCTTATGCCTTAGATTTCTGCATGATTATAACAGCTCAAATGAGAATGTTCATCAATAATAGCAGCTACTGGTCATAATCATGAATCAATTAAGTGAAATAGTCAAATTTTGCAAATACTATCAAATGGTTTTAGTTGTCATAATAAAAGAAATGTTAACATCCACAAACTACATATCAAATATTAATTTATGTGTCTATCAATAACAACAACCTAGGATTAAGTCAGAAATAAAATGTAAAGGGTGAAAATTGGAAGAACAATATAATTTTAAATTAAAATAAGTACAAATCAAAGAAAAAAGGGTTTGTCGACTTAATAAATAGGGGAAACTATATTTGTGTAAATAAAGAATTAAAAATTTAGGAAAAAGAATTGAAATCTGGGTTGTTGAATCAATTATGGGCAATAGAGAAAGAACTTGTATGGGAAGTAGATAAAGAGAGGTTTACTTTTGACAGTAAAAAAAAATAAAAAATTGGGAGTTTAACTTATTTGACGGATTGCAGTTTTTTTTTGTAATTTATTTTTCATTTGGGGTAAATTTATAAAACTTGGCCAAAGAATTTAAACTTAAGTGGGGTCAACTGACGCCCCGGAACCCCCCTCTTTTGACAGCAGGAAATGGTTATTAATTTGAAGTCCGGTACTGGTACAAGGTGAATTCAGATAATTAATTATCTAATATATTATTAAAATACTCCATAACACCATGCACATTTTCTAAAATTATATTATAGGATTACATAGTTTAATGCTTTATCTCTTTTTTTTTTTTTTTTTTTTTTTTTTTTTTTTTTGGTAAGTAATGCTTTATCTCATTGTAAGTTTGTAACCAACCGTATCTCTTTGCCACCCACAATCTTTTAGTTGGTTACTGTAGGACCCAAATTCTGTTTTTGTGCTAAAACTGTCCTGGCATGCTGGATTGGATTTGGATCATATTCTTACTTGTTTAATTACCATCAACTTTCAATGCTTAAATTAAACCTTATAATAAATTTAAAATATTATATTAATGTGATGGTTGGTGTTAAACCTTCAATAATATGATATTTTAGAGTGTGTAAATTAAATATTTCATATTATGAATCATGATGTTATCTCCATGAAAACCCTACATGATGTAGAAACTTTTTGGGCAGGGCTTCTATATATGTTTAGAAGATGCAATGATACAGGGTACTACAACCACACAATTGACAGTGATGAAGAAAAAGTCAGTAAATATATAAAAAATAATAATCCGTTAAAACGGAAGAAAAAGAGTGTTGAAAAGGGATAACGGATATGAAAGAGAAGCCCCACTGTTAGACTGTTGAATGAGCGTGGGGGTGGGGCTCTGCTTCTGCTTCTGCACCTGCTTCCGTCCAGTTACCGTCCCTTGGAGTCGGTCCATTGCTGTTTTTAAGCTACAGCAATTATCACTGTTTGACTTTGACTGCTTACGTGGGCCATCCGTTCTTTCCAAATCTCCTATACATTTAACATTAGTAGAAGGGGTTATTCTTGTCTTTTAAATTAAAACAAACAAGAGAAAGAATAATCCTACACATATATCATTTTCATACAATATTTTTCATACAACATTATATGGTAAGATATAATTGACTAATTTAAAGTTAAAATTAAACTTTCACTCAATTATATCTTATCACATAATATTATATAAAAAATATTGTATGAGAATGATGTATGTATAGTATTATTCCAAGAGAAATTGCACAATTTCTGATTATATTTACATGGTAAAGTTTTTAAAATTACGTATGAAGTCATTAAGACAATAAGTGACGTCATGTGACGTGGACCTGTTCAGTCTAATATGTTTTTAAGAATATAGAAAAACACAAGTTAAATGCATTAATGTCTGTTGTCAGATTTAACAGTTGGTGTGATATTCGTATAATTAATTTAATGAGAAAATTGAAGCTTTATCTATGAAAACCAATTTAGTTAAACTTTACGTTGATTTGGGTATGACTTATGAGACAGCTAAAGAAGTTATTTTTATTAGTATAAAATATAAATACAAAAGGAAAGTCCATAGGCTTAAAAATGTTTTTATTTATTTATATATAGGGTAAAATATTTTATATAAGAATAAATTTTATATAGTTATAAAAAAATTTATTTCTAACTTAAAATAATTATAAATAAAAATAAACTCTATATTATAATAAATTATAATTTTTTTAATTTTCGTCTTAAGGAAAATTATCTTTACACAGTAATAATTATGTGTATATTACAAAAAAAAATATATTATTTGTTACACTAAAAGTTTAAGATGAAATAAAATATTTATACTTTAAAGTTTTTTCAGAAAAATGATTTATACTATAAAGTTGTTACCACATCTTTTAACTTGTAGGTACATTACTCACTAGCATGGACATCTTCTTGTTGAAGCCAAAATATTTATAATTTCTTAAGTATGTTTAGAGTTTCTTGTCATGAAACTTTTTGTATTTCCGTACTATCACCTTCATGATTATTTACTTCTTTTCTTGTATAATTGTAGTGATGATTTCTTCTTCAATTAAAGCATACATGACTTATTACTCATTTGAATGATTAAGGAAGACATTAATATCCATTCGATTAGTGTAATGGAGTTATCAAATCTGATCACTCAATTCTACAATGATTCTTTGATTTTTCTCATCCACTTTATTTATAACTTGCAATTTATCGACATCAGATATCTTAATTTTATAATGCTTAAAACAATTGATAATTATTTATGACTTTATATCAATTTAACTATGTAGCAATTGTATTTACAATTCATCAAAGATACTTATCTTTGTTGATTTCAAGACACGATCTTCTATTCATTTAAAAAGTAGGCAATTAAAACGTTGAATTGAAATCCTAATACTATTAAAACATGAATTATAAAATAAGAAATTTTTATAACTACATCTTTATTCAATTATAACATCTTCATCGTAATAAAATTAATTAGTCTCATCGTTATGATTATAGAGAGGTTTTACTATATTAAGTTGGGTTTAATGTCTGTTGTCGGATTTAACAGTAGTGGTGATATTCGTATAATTAATTTAACGAGAAAATTGAAGCTTTATTTGTAAAACCCAGTTTAGTTAAACTTTACGTTGTTTTTGGTTAGAGACAGCTACAGAAGGTATTTTTATTAGTATAAATACAAAAGGAAAGTCCATTGGCTTCAAAATGTTTTTATTTATTTATTTATATATATTAAGTTTGGTTTCATCAAAACCATCTTTCATAAACTCCGAAAAGGAACTTCCTTTTCAGTACATGAAGAAGTTCAGAAAGGTAGAAATCTAATTTCGTGTTATCACAAAACATCTAAACAGATTATGGAGAGAGAGAGTGAGAGTCAGCCATTCTCCATGTCTGACTCAGACCATATTCTCTTACTTTTATCATCAATTTTAGCTCTTCTTATTATCTTCATTCTAATCAATAGAAAGAAAACCAGATTTAATCTTCCACCGGGCAACATGGGGTGGCCTTTTATTGGAGAAACCATTGGTTATTTGAAGCCTTACTCTGCTATATCAGTAGGTGAATTCATGGAACATCACATAGCAAGGTAAATTAAAATTTTTTGATTCAGCTACAACTACAGAGAGTTCAATCCAATCATGGCATTAACTTACTGTTTTATTTTCAATGATATGCCGCAGGTATGGAAAAATCTACAAGTCAAGTTTGTTTGGCGAGCCGACGATAGTCTCTGCAGATGCCGGGCTGAATAGATTCATATTTCAAAACGAAGGGAAATTGTTTGAATGCAGCTATCCAAGAAGCATAGGTGGAATTCTCGGAAAATGGTCTATGTTGGTTCTCGTTGGAGACATGCATAGAGACATGAGAATTATATCTCTCAACTTCTTGAGCCACGCCAGGTTAAGGACTCATCTATTGAGAGAAGTGGAGAACCATACCTTTCTTGTTTTGAATGCATGGAAGGATAATTCTGTACTTTCTGCTCAAGATGAAGCCAAGAAGGTTAACTACTTTTCCAAAGTTCGAATTTGAATTCATGAAGTATTTTTTAAAATTAGCTTAATAACTTTTAAGAAGATGGGTATTGCAGTTCACTTTCAATTTGATGGCGAAACATATTATGAGCATGGACCCTGGCAAACCTGAGACTGAGCGGTTAAAAAGAGAATATGTTACTTTCATGAAAGGAGTTGTATCGGCACCTTTAAATTTGCCTGGATGTGCATACAGAAAGGCCTTACAGGTAATTCATCACTACTGTACATAATGAATTAATTGATCCCGGAACCTCATTAATTACCTATTTAGTAAATAGTTTCATCTTGTTTGGTTACTTTGGCTGTTCTGTTTGGCAGTCTCGATCAACCATCCTGAAATTTATTGAGGAAAAAATGAAAGAGAGAATCCAAAAAATGGAGGATGGACAAGACGACATGGAGCAAGATGATCTTCTAGGGTGGGTTTTGAAGCATTCGAATCTTTCAACAGAGCAAATTCTTGACTTGGTACTAAGTTTGCTCTTTGCCGGCCATGAAACTTCATCAGTTGCAATAACTTTATCTATCTACTTCTTGCAAGGTTCCCCTGCAGCTGTTAAACAGTTACAGGTAATTCAGCATAACAGATTACATGTATACTTGATTAATTTTTTTGATCATATATATACATATATGTATAATTAATACTTGTTTGTTTTCTTCACAGGAAGAACACCTTGAGATTGCCAGAGCCAAGAAGCAATCAGGAGAGAAGGAGTTGAACTGGGAAGACTACAAGAAAATGGAATTCACCCAATGTGTAAGTTGTATTGATTTAATTAATTAAATATTATTTTGTAGATATAAATGAAATAAAGAGTGAATTTTTATCCTCTTTGTAAAGGTTGTGAGTGAGACACTTAGACTTGGAAATGTTGTAAGATTTCTCCACAGAAAGGCTCTGAAAGACGTACGGTACAAAGGTAAAGACATATATATAATTAATCAGGCGTCGGTTTGAAGGTAAAATTGTGTGTTAAATTAATTAAATATTATATTATAGGTTATGACATTCCGAGTGGGTGGAAAGTACTTCCAGTATTAGCAGCAGTGCACTTGGATTCTTCTCATTTTGACCACCCCCAACACTTCAATCCATGGAGATGGCAGCAGCAGGTTAGTCAGTTTTTAACTCTTTACTTTTTCATTTTCAAACTACACAGTACACTCCCTGCAATTGGATTTATTAGAACGTGTAAAAAATGCCTCTTTCACGCAATAAAGCACGTTATAAAAATCTTATTGATATGGTTTTTTTAAAAGTTTGTAATAGTTGGAAAACTTATAAACAAATATCCATGAAATTTATATTATACGAACTTAAAAAAAGAAACATATCATAGTAGCAATAATAATCATAAGATCCTTTCTTCAGTTTATACTTTACGTTTAATTATTTATTTCAATTCATTATATAGTTGTCAAAAAAATGATCATAACAGTAGATAACTGTCCCTACCTTAAGTCGATTCATATTGAATTTTATAGAAGGCGAGTAAAATTATCATATATTATAGACTATAGTTGAAGATTTTATATGCTAGTGTTTGGGAGGTGATGTTCCATCTAGGCCGTTTGTCTCGTCGCATCAGGAAAACGCAAGAAATTTAACATAGAACGATAATCGGACGGTTCTCCCATGCCCATCAGAAGTTGGTGTTATGATCGGAGGACAGATGTTGCATACTGTACGGAAGTAAGTAGGACCCACAAAAAAAACCTCTGTCGTGCGCGTGGGGAGGTGTGGGGGTATTGAGATAATTAAAGGCCATGTGAGTGTGGGGTTTCTTACAGTTCTCACATGCACGTGCATCTGTACTTTTCTCATTGGATTAATTACAAAACTGGTCCAAACAAAATCTTGTTAAAACTTACACTACGGTTAAAAAATTAAACGGCAAACTATATAAGTCAGACAGTGACAATTGCTTGGAAACTGACCATGAAACAAGATATTATACATGTCTTATAAAAGGGTATAATTTTTTGTTATGGCGGTGCAGCAAAACAGTGGAAGTAGCGGGGCAACAAACAATTATTTCATGCCATTTGGTGGAGGACCTCGGCTCTGCGCTGGATCAGAACTAGCAAAACTGGAAATGGCTGTTTTTATCCACCATTTGGTTCTGAATTACCATTGGGAATTAGCTGAACCGGATCAAGCATTTGCTTTCCCTTTTGTGGACTTTCCAAAAGGCTTACCCATCAGAGTTAAGCACCAGCCTTTGTTATAATTAATTCATGCTCATGCTCATGCTCATGCATGCATGAATTAATTTCAAAAAAGAGACCTCTCTCTCTCTCTCTCTCTCTCTCTCTCAACCTTTCATGTTATATACATATACAGGATCTGCCAGAAATCTATCGTTTTCACGTGAAGATCTTGAGTATCTCGGATTTTCCAACTTGTTAATGTAGGTCGATCTTATTATATAGCTCACATCCATCAAGGGAAGACAAAAAAAATTGAACAAATAGACATCGTTAGGACCACATTTTCCTCAACCCCCATGTTGTAAATTGTATTATCTTTCTCTGGTCCTGCCATGTTGGGACTAGGTACTAAATTATTCATTTACATGGTGTATTATTACCGTATATGTTTTGTATTTTTCTTGTTCAATTATTTTTAATTTAACTTAAATATTTGTATTTTCAGTAGAATCATTCAGTCCGAAAAGAAGATTAGTTTTAGAGTTAATAAATTTAATATAGAACTACTTTTAGGGAGTTTGACGGTTCGCTTGAGATTCTTTGGTGTATTATTCAAGAAATCCTGAGTTTAAATCCTCATGATTATTAACAAGTGATAGTCATTGAAGGCTTACTTGACCGTTAACTTCAGAGCTCCGGAGGATTAGTTGAGGTGTGCGCAAGCTGACCCGAACACCTCTAGATATAGAAAAAAAAAAAAAAAATCAATATAGCATAATCTAATTAGTGTTAGTGCCCTTAATAATTACAAAGTCACATGTGACATCGAATATAGCTTCTGTAAAACGTGATACAAGGTGTTGGAAATATGGAATGATGACAGTGATTGGATAAAGTTTTCATTTATCGAAAAAACCAATATACATATATGTAAGTGAAAATGGAGAATTTTCTTAATCATAAAATAATATACTTAATTAAGAATGTGAAAATGAATCCAAATGGGACGACTTACACATACCCAAAGTTTGTTTTATAACAAAGTGGTACTCAAAAGGTTTGAAATGACAAACACCATTTTTCCATCATGTTCTGTGGAATTTCCATATGCTAAAAGACAAAAATGGTAAAAAGACTAGAATACCCATCAATCTCCATTCCCAATGCGCGCCAACGGGCCAGTGCCACTGTTTATCACCGAACTTCGCAAAAAAATGTTAAATCCGATCAAAAAATCGATCGATGACGCAAGAGGGTTATGCAAACAGGCATGAGTTGAGAATAGATATGAGAAAATTTAAATTAAAATTTTATGACAGTAGATAAATTACTATACTGTCTTTTACAACAGAAATCTCTAATGAATATGACAAAAGTATTTGTTTGTCATTTTCAAACTTTTTGGGTATTAATCTGTCTTTATACCAACTTTGGGTAGGTGAAAGTTATTCGGCCTGAAATCAAAGGTGGATGAATATTACGTGGATGATATTTCGTTATCCTGGATTATCTGAATGGTCTGTGTGGGACTGATTGCGCTGGCTTATTAAGAGGCTGTGACATTACTTGATTAGGGATCCGCTAAACCCTCCTGTAACTTTCTAGGAAAGTGATGCTTTCTGGATCAGGGTGTGGAGATGCAAAATTTAACGACAAAGAAAGGCTGTTTTGTCGTCTGTCCCGTTTCTCTCCCTTTGCAAAATTTTCTCAGCAATTCTGTTATGCAATTGCTACGTGCCAACCAATCCAATCTTCCATTATTTAAGGGACCATCTACTCATAACTATTTGTCCTCTACCACAACTGCCTCATCTCTGAAGTATAACCTTCTTATTTTAAGACTTGGTTGTTGACTGAGTTAATGACTTTTTCTCACCCAAATAATTCTTAATGACTACTTCATATACTTCTAAAATATTATTTTTTTTAAATTATATTACAACTACCAACAAATAACAATTTAGTTTAGACTGTTAGAGATTTAAGAGGGAGCCGATGAGTACTTTTGTGATGAAAATTGAGTTTTGGTGATTAGGCTTGATTGAAATTTGACTTGAGAGGGACGGTATACAAACCCTAATTACTCAATTACTAACGATTAGTAAAGTCAACGAAAGTAAATTTTATGGGGTTTTGATGAATGATACGAGAAAGATATAATGTGAGTGTGAGATCATAACAATGTCATAATCGAAACAGAATATAATTTGGATAATAAATGATTTTAAAATCTGTGGATGAAAAAAATGTTATTATGCTATTATTTAGGTAAAAATCGTCTACTCTTGTTCATATACCTTAATTGGCTTCATTAAACCATCATTGTATTTAGAGACAACAGACAGAACAACCTCTCTTATATAGTAATCTATCGTACCTAAAAATCTACCTGAAAAATAATTATTTACCTGAAATGGACAAAAAAATTTGGTTCACCAATCCTCTTACTATTATATATGGAATCCCAACCTACTTACACACATGCTATAACTTCTTTAATCATTCAAGAAAATATAATATTGTCCCATTAATCAATCTAGCCGTCATTTTGGAAACATCAATTATTAATATTCAAAGTTTCAAACTACAAATCTAGTGGAAGGTTTAATTTAATACACATTATGCATTGTAAATAGTACTGAGACAAGCTTCATTACTCCTCAATTAACAATTAATAGGAATGTCTGCCATATTTTTGACCGCATCATTCTCACAATGGATTTGTCAGCCATTATAATACTGATACAGCAACTTTGTCGAGGGTTTGCATTGTTGATAGTGTCAATGAAAATTAATTGTACATTTTGCGATGATGGAAACCGTGCAAAATCTTATTTTATTTGAATATAACTATGCATTGAGCTTGGTTTCTATGATTTTAATGAATGAATTGAATATATATTTATTATAAAGAGAAACTATTTTTTCTCATCTAATAATGTTTTTAGATATTTTTTTCACTCTTAACTTTCAAAATATTATTTATTCCTAAACTTATATTTTATTTCTCATTTCGCCATCATTGTGTCTATACTACCACTATTTTTCTTCTCTGATCATCACTCACCAAAACCCTTAAAACCTACTTTCATCGACCCCCCCATCGAGCGATTAGGTTTACACAGCCGCCTTTTCAAGTCAATTTCTGATCTATCTAACATAAAATTCAACCTTTCACCACCAATGAGTCATCGGTCTCCCTTATTCAAAAGTCTCAATAACCTAGACCAAGTTTATTCTATGTTCTCATCGAATATAACTTGAATATAAAGTATTTTAAAGTCTGTAGTTGAGAAAGTGTTATTAAACCATTATTTGAGTGGGAAAAAGTTGTTAACTTTTATTATAAAGGGATTTGATTGGTTTGGTTGGTAGATTTAATTGCTGTACATAGTCTCTCCTTTGTAATAATTGCCATCAACTCATTAAAATTAGATATAAGTATTGGGTCGATCTAATAAGATAGAATTAAATAAATGATAATATATATATATGATTCATACCTATGGTTCTAACCACCAAGCCTAAAACAAGAGTGTGTTTTTTGTATATGATATGACTGTATCTGTATGTATGGCTGTACCTGTCTCTTGCAAAGTTGACTGCAAGGTAAACACGACATGAGATGATGCGTTATTTTTTTTTATTTCAACTACCAATTAATGAGTTAACGGTGAGGCCAACAACCAAAGTTCGTGGATAACTTAAAAAGAGACCATTATACCTAATTAATTTGAGACTCCTCACTGAGCTAACCATCACCTTCATGTTAGGTTTCCTTTCGCTTTCCAGTTTTCTTTTTGTTTAGTACTTCTTTCTCAATGATTCATGTGCTTCTGTTGACGTATCTATCAAATATATATCTTCGATACAAGTACTGCAACAAAAGATACGAGAAGAAAGGTAAAAAGTTAATTACTTTTTAAGGGGAATAGAAGATTTGTGAATATATGTGATAAGGGTTTTACGATCATCTCTTTCCATGTGATGTTGAGAGCAAGCACGTTGTGGATTTCAATGTGATTGGGCTCTTATTTAACAAAACATATACTGTTGAGAGCTACTGAACGAAATAAAATAGTCATCAGTAGGTCCTTTTTCGTTTTTTTTTTTTTTTTTCAATGTGATTTTAGATATGGAGTTGAATCCTGCCATCCTATCTGCCTTGAAATGGCCATTTGTCTGTTTTAGGCAGCCGACAAAAGGAGCAAACTGGCAATTCCATCTTTTGGCAGCTCACCTTTATGGTATCCTTCACAAAACAATATCGCAATCTGATTATGAAGGCCAATTTGAATTTGGCCTGATTAGGTTAGTGGTCAGAGCTACGTTACGTACCTACCCCAACCCTCTTTTAAGTTTAGCGTAATATAAATGATGTTACCCAAACTAGTGCTCCTATTATCCATTTCAATCTCTTTTCTGGTCAAGACTGCCTGTACATTTTTTGGTTAAACCAATTTTCAGCCCAAGCCAAAGTTCCCTAAGCCCAACATATGAATTACCGAACTAGTGCTCCTATTATGCGTTTTTTTTTTTTGGGGGATAAAAGAGTGTCACAACTAGTTTATGCGTATCTTAATAAATCTTTAAGTTTTTTGAATACGTTACAAGTCTAAAAATCATATAATCTTAATGTTATTGGTAGGTGACCTTAAGATTTAAATCTATAAACTCAAAAAAAAAGCAAACCTCTTTACTTGGCCCATAGACCAACCCCCTGGGTTCCTATTACATGTTTCAATCTCTTTTTTTCGGTTAAGACTACCTGTTCATTTTTGGTTAAACCAATTTCAGCCCAAGCCAGAGCTCCGTACCCAACATATGACGTACCAAACCGAAGTCCATTTTATAGAGGCCCGTATTGAGGGGACCCATGGAACAGTCAGTAAACTTTTCCATAACCTTTTCGAACTCCAGGATCTTGTGATTTTTAACAGCAATAGGTTTTTTCATAAAACATTTTTGAATCATCACCCAAATATTTTAAATGTCAATAGAGTGTAGAGAATACCGGAGACCACATTATTCATGCATAAACTAGCGAGTTAATGTCGATAGACTAATTATTTGAATAAATGTCAAATCTCATATTTCTAACAAATTGGGTTTCAATTATATTTATAATTTTTAGATCTTCTAACAAGTTGACGCATTTTAATAAAAATTTGTTTTAGAACCTAAAACTAAACCTATGTGAATTGAGTTCAAAACAAATAATCAGCTAAGTGTTTTATTTGTGAAAAATGCTTTACTAGGACATAATCTCAACCAATAGACATGTTTTTCACTTACTACAATTTATTAATCAATTGTGATGTGTTTCCTTGCATTATAAACTGTTTACTTGTCAATTATTGGAGAAGGTGGGAATGCTAAACACACAATCATTTTTAGCAACAATTAATATAAAATTATCTATGATGTCGAATAGTTCGATGGAATTCTTTAGTAATCTTAAAAATTTTGAGTTTGAGTTTCTCCCTCGATTACTAATAGTAGCTATGGAGTTTTATCTAGTGTGTGATTTAGGATCTCGAAGATAATTGAAGTATACATAAATTGATCCAAATATTTCCCCCGTTAAAAAAAAAAAAATTAATATAACATGTTTGTTAACACCTAACGTGTTTCCGATCTCATTACGCAAAAACGTACACGGGACTAACTGATTTTGTTGTCCGTGATGGGCTTTAGGCCACGTAGCCCGAGTCTCCAAATCCGTCGTGGCCCAAAGAGCACCACCACCCAGCATTTTATTCCATGCCACGTGGAATCACTTCGATCTTTAAAACCAACCTAACTTAACATTTTGACTATCAGGGAGTTTCACTTTTGACCAATCATTACCACTTGACCTCCCTGATTTTGTCTAAATAGTTTTATATTCTATTACTTTCCTCGTAAATTTTATGGCATGTTTAGAATCTGAGAATTATTTTTGTAAAAAAGAAATAGAATATTATATTTTATTGTATTTTATTGAGCAAAAATACTTTTATAGATATAGATGATGTCATTCTTTACACACTTTACCTACGAATCATTTACTAGGTTAATGATAGAATACAACAGATTACAAATGATAATATTATATTATCCTACTTTAATCGTATTAACCTTCTTTAACTCAATAAGGATGGCATTTCAGTAGTTACCTACGAATATCAAGGGTAATGAAAAATACCATTCCTCCTTTCTTTTTATCAGCTTCCCACTTCGCCTCCTCCCATACTAGTCTCTGTCTCTGCGATCTATCAACTATTCCGAACTTGCCTGTAAGAAAACAAAAGACAGAGAAGAGATTGGCGCTGCGTTTCTCGTGGCCTTCGCTTTCCTTCTCATTCGAAACGTCGATCTTAATGACTCTGTTTGATCTCACATTTCCAGATTCTTCTCATCTCATTCTGTATGCTTCTCTCTCCCGTTTTCTTTTTTCACCTTAGGGTTTTCCATTGATTTATCGCTTTTTTTTTTGTTTTCAATTTATATATTTCCTCCTAATTTTATTTATAATTACTGGATGTTTTTTCACGGATTCTATTGATTATATTATTTTTCATTTCTTTCCAATCATTATCTCGGTTTTATTTATTTGTAAATGTTTATTTTTATTAACGTGTTGTGATTGGTTACCTTTTTTATGCGGACAGAGTGGAGAGACACCATAGTGGATCATACATATGATGCTGTTGTTATAGGAGCTGGTGGTGCTGGGCTGAGAGCAGCCATAGGCTCTCAGAGCATGGTTTCAACACTGCTTGTATTACCAAGCGTTCCCAACTCGTTCTCACACTGTTGCAGCTCAGGTATGGCAGATTCATTTAAGTTTTTGCAATGCAACGAATTGCTTTAGACTTGCGTGTTGATTTTATTAATTTATTTGATTTTCCAAAGTTTGTCATCATATATGAAAGTTTTCTACATTTATCTCGTTATGCGATTTACAAGTGATCAGTTATATGTGGACGTCGACTGCATCCTTCAAGAATTCATTATTCCAATCGAAATTTTTTTAGTTGTATATTTTGGAAGGGTAATATCTGCAGCAATTAAACGTGATGACACATTATTGTTGTTTTGAAATTCATCAAGGATTGTTCTCATTGTTCTTCCCAATTTCATAATATTGTTCTTTTGGTTTTCTTCCTGGATACTTGGTTGAAGGATTCAGATATGCTGCATAACTTTCATCTTTTTGTAATAATTGCGTAAGAGTTTTATCAATGTAACATTATGATCTCATCTTCATGTCACTAGCTTGTTTTTCCTAAATTAGATAGTTAACTTTATACAGGTGGTATAAATGCTGCATTGGGAAAACATGAGTGAAGATGACTGGAGGTGGCACATGTACGACACAGTCAAGGGCATGATTGGTTAGGTATGTCAACTATATAACTTGAACGTCTTTTCTGTGCATTTGCTAGGTGACAGGAAGTTTCAACATTCAAACATGCAGATAGTTTCTTTACTGGTTTTTTTTATGTTTTTGTCTGTGCTTTCCATTTTTTAGCTCCTTGGTAAAGAGAGTAGATGGATATTTTTGTGGTACTGTACCTTCATGGTGGTTTGCTGTTGAATTATAATATAAATTGTTAAGTGGAGGAAGCAATATAGATTCTGCGAAGGGCTAAGGACTTGATGTACACATAGATACTTGCTCTTCTTCTAGTATTGGAGTGCATCTGGTGCATTACAGTTCAAATACTACTTTTATAAATTTTGGCTTGTTTGGGTATTAATGCAAGGGAATTGGCTTTGAACAGTGATCAGATGCCATTCAGTATATGTGTAAGAGGCACCAAAAGCTGTGATTGAGCTTGAGAATTATGGTTTACCATTTTCTCGAACAGAAGATGGAAAAATATACCACGTGCATTTGGTGGTCAAAGTCTTGACTTTGGAAAAGGTCAGATGGGCAAATTTGAAGTTGGAATGTCAATAATCATCAGATTATATCATGGATAGCTTTCTAACTTGGATATCTCATTATTGTTATCATGACAGGTGACAGGCGTACCGTTGTGCATGTGCTGCTGACAGAACTGGTCATGCCTTGATTGCACACTCTTTATGGTCAGGCTATGAAACATAATACACAATTCTTTGTGGAATATTTTGCTTTGGATCTTTGATGAGTAGTGATGGTAAGTTAGTAGCATAGTAAATTAAGTTGTCATCATTAAATCCTTTCTTCTTGTTGTTGTTTTGTAGGGGTAATAATGGACACGTTACCTAAACCAGAAAGCGAAGCATAACTATCATTTGTTGCTTACCATGATATGTTGTTGCTCACTGTCCCAGGAGGATTGCATTAAATATGGAGGATGGAACACTACATCGGTTCCGTTCTGCTTCAACATTTTGGCCACAGGGTACTATAACTTGTGAGCAAAGCTTATGTGACTTCAAATTAGCAATATTTTCTATAGCATTCATTTGTATTTCCTTTCAGGGCTATGGTAGAACCTATTTTTCTTGCAACCTCTGCCCATACTTGCACAGGAGATGCAATGCCATGGTTGCACGTGCTGGGGTTCCACTCCAGGTTTGTTTTGCTGCTTCCTGATCTTGAAGTGAGCTCTTTAGACTGTTTCTTGCCATTATGTTTATCTAGAATATATTTTTTGTTCAGGATTTGGATTCGTACAATTTCACCCTACTGGCATTTATGGGCTGGCTGCCTCATTACTGAAGGTTAGTGCATCTAGTTCATATGAAGATGCTATCTTGGTTTTAGGTTACATATATTTCTGTTTCTGATTTTTTAGATTTGAATACTCTTGTTCAGTTTGAAGTTGGCAGAAGTTCATCTCTGATTTATCTGTTGTAGGATCTCGAGGTGAAGTGGTATTCTAAGAACAGCGAAGGTGAACGGTTTTGGAACGGTATGCCCCTACAGCCAAGGATCTTGCATCAAGAGATGTTTTTCTAGATCCATGACCATGGAAATCCGAGAAGGTCGTGGCGTAGGTATGAGGCCCTTCTATAATCAAATATTATTTTAATCTTCCAGGCAAAAAGATAATGTTCTGTGCTCATCTGTTTATGGGAATTGCAGGCTTTCAGCAGTTGAATAATAGATTTGTGATCAAATGAGCATAAATCATTGATAACAACCATAGATCATCTCTGAATTTTGGTCATATCATCTTATATTTTCCTGAACTGTAAAGTTCAAGCGATTCCTAGTCTTATTCTTCCTCCATCATTCTGTCAATAATTGTGTATCTGTGATGCAGAAATAGCTCATTTTTGCTGTTAACATATATGCCTCATTTAGAATTATGGTTAAAACTATGACTTTTTAAATTTGTGGGGTAACTAGTTTCCCCATTATCTGATTTTCACATCTTCATTGTGTATTATTTAATAAATGGTTTTAATATACACACAGGACCTTTGAAGTCAATCTATCTCCACTTGAATCACTTACCCCCAGATGTACTCAAGGAGAGGCTTCCTGGCATCTCTGAAACTGCTGCTATCTTTGCTGGAGTTGATGTTACAAAGGCCCATTCCAGTCTTACCGACTGTGCATTATAATATGGGTGGAATTCCCACTAATCACCATGGGGAGGTATAATTGGAAAGAAAAATATCATCATATTGGTTTATTTCTCTCATAAAGTTTCCATTTGTATGGTTATAATTCTATTAATTTTTTTATGGCAGAGGCTAATATTGTAGTTACCGTTAGATTTAAAGATTCAATTTCTATATTTAGTAATTTGAGGTTTTAGAGTGTTGATTTTTCATTTTAAAAACTCTGCTGTTTGTATTGCAGGTAGTTACTATCAAGGAAATGACCCAGATGCCGTAATTCCGGGACTAATGGCTGCTGGTGAGGCTGCCTGTGCATCAGTTCATGGTGCCAATCGGCTTGGTGCAAATTCTCTTCTTGACATTGTTGTTTTTGGTCGAGCTTGTGCAAATAGTTGCAGAGATCCAGAGACCAGGCAAGTTTAATTCTAGCAGTGGCAGATAATTATTGATGATGTTTGTATGACCATTAGAGATATTTTTCCCATTTTTGTGCAGGGATAAACAAAAGCCATTGGAGAATGACGCAGGCCAGAAGACCATTGCCTGGCTAGACAAATTAGAAATTCAAATGGCTCATACCACTTCGAAATTTCGGTTTGAATATGCAACGAGTAATGCAGATAATGCTGCTGTGTTCCGTCACAGATACATTAGAAGAAGGTATCTTTGATGAATAATTGTTATTCTCCCTTAGACTTTTGTACCTACACATTTCCTCTCTCTTAATAACTCTTTTACCCAGATTTTGTGGGATTAAACATTCCAACTTTGTTAAATGAATTTGAAGACTAGACCTCCTCGCTTGATTGAGTCTACTTATTGTTGCCTATGCAAATTGCTTATGGTTGAACCTAGCTACTCTGTGTCATAACCCTTTAACCATCCCTTACAAACACTGTTTAATTCTTTTTATTTCTGTGTTGCTTCTGCAGGCTGTCAATTGATTGACAAAGCATGGGAGAGTTTTCATGATGTTAAGTTGACAGATCGTAGTTTGATATGGTGACATTTTTTGTGCATGAGAATATTGATGGTTAAATTATTTAGTGTAACTTATTTGCATCATGGTCTTAATTCTAAAATCTTTTGTTTGCTAGGAACTCTGACTTAATAGAGACTATAGAATTGGAGAACCTTTTGATAAATGCATGTATCACCATGCATTCTGCTGAAGCCAGGAAAGAGAGCAGAGGAGCTCATGCACGTGAAGATTTTACGGTCAGTTAGTTTCTTTTTGGCTGACATTGTAGAGTGTCAATTGTTTTTCTGTATAATGAAATTAGCTGCTGTGGCTGTGCAGACAAGAGATGATGTGAACTGGATGAAACACACCTTGGGGTAAGTTACTATCCTCTACTTTGCTTTTAAGAGGCAAAAGCTGATCAGAATAATGTATATGTTGTCATTGTCATGGTATGATTAAAATTGTTGAAACCTCAAGCTTTGATTGGGGTGGTTAAGGACCTTTTGTTTCAAACAGGAGGTCGAAGTTCATTTTTTCTAATTATTAAGGTATTTGTCCAAGTGTATTCATTCTGAAACTGGGTGGTTTTGGGAAAAAAAGGTCAAGAGTATTTATCCGTATGATAGGATAATTAAAATAAATGTTCTAGAGCTTTAGGCAGTAATCTTGAGAAGTTCAGTCAGATTTGGGTGGTATTATTGTGTTGGTTCTAGGCTACCGAAATTTAATCGCTTACTGCCTTGTGCTGGTTAAAAGAAATACATTTTAATTAATCATTTTAGTCCTACCATTTTTTGTTGAATTCAATTGTAGTAATGTTGTTATGCAAATATGATTGGCAGATATTGGGAGGATGAGAAGGTCCGACTAGATTACAGACCTGTTCACATGAATACATTAGATGATGAGATTGAGACCTTCCCACCTAAAGCTCGTGTATATTGATCCACTGTCCACCCTCTTCCCAAAATAAGAAAAACAGATAAATGAAAGACAGCAATAAGTTGTAATTTGGACAAATAGTTGTTGCATTCATCGGTATTTAACTTCTGGGATTGGAAGTTATTACAGGTATGTTTCTCTACTGAGTAATAAGCTTGATGATTGCCTGAACAACTTCATAGGTGTTTTAAACCCGTTGTTGATTTCAGCGATAATGTCAATTTATAATACATTACGCCTTCTTTTGTTTATTACTTCTGCATACTGCAAGAATGGTTTAGTCTGTAATTGTTTTTGCCTCATTGCTGCCTTTTTTTAACCCTTAATAATGTAGTATTCAGTAACTGTGATCATTTAATAAGCAGATCATTCTCAATAGCTTAGCTGGTTTGATTAAATACATAGTTGTGAATTAGTTCGCATTTCAAACTAATGGAGTAAAATTAGTCTGATAAGATAATGTAACAATATCGCAATAATTTCATACTATTTTGTAAGGGGTTTGTATTTATATTATTACTTTAATGTAATAATTAGGGTAATGTTGTTCTTGAAATGCTTTGATGTTTACACTTTACATCACTGTTTTAAAACCCGCACCGGAGGGCAACCTGCTCTGCTGCCTGGGTCACGCGTCAACCGGTCCAACCGGTGACATCATCATGCGGCAGCACTAAAAAAAAATCCTGTTTTTCTAAGAATTTCAGATTTCCATTTTTAACAACCTTCAAATAACAATCATAACATAATTTAATAACAATCCAAAATCCAAATCTAAACATGATGTGTTCATCCATTACATATTAAATGATAAAATACATAATAATTAATAACAAAACTTTTGGTGTAAGTGTTTTTCCTTTGATCAATCTCTATGTTGATTGAGTTTCATATACTATCATCAAAATTCATCATCATCACCACTGTCATCATCATCATAATCATCACTATCATCTGCAAAATGCTTATGAATATTGAATAGCTTAATACAAGTTTTACAACACACTTTCATACAATTTTTACAACACAGTTTCAAGAGCTCTTTAGTATACACGTACATTCATGTAACTCTCTTTACTATTTTAGAAAATTCTTTTCACTGGCAAAATATTCTAGTATCAATCAAAGATTGAATGAGTAAAAAAATCTCATGTTTTTCTGGTTTGACGTACTATCAATATTATATAATATTATATATATATATATATATAGATATATATATTCGATACAAGTACCAACAAAAGATACGAGAAGAAATGGTAAATTAATTACTTTTTAAGGGAATAGAAGATGGTGAATATTGTGATAAAGGTTTTACGATCATCTCTTTCCATGTGATGTTGAGAGCAAGACAGTTGTGGATTCAATGTGATTGGCTCTTATTACAAACAACTGTTTGAGAGCTACTGAACGAAATAAAATAGTCATCAGTAGGTCCTTTTGTTGTTTTTTTTTTTTTTTCAATGTGATTTTAGATATGGAGTTGAATCCTGCCATCCTATCTGCCTTGAAATGGCCATTTGTCTGTTTAGGCAGCCGACAAAAGGACAAACTGGCAAATTCCAGCATTTTGGCAGCTCACCATTTTGGATATCCTTCACAAAACAATCGCAATCTATTATAAGGCCATGAATTTGGGCCTGATTAGGTTAGGTGGTCAGAGCTACGTTACGTACCTACCCCTAACCCTTTTAATTTTAGCGTAATATAAATGATGTTACCCAAACTAGTGCTCCTATTATCCGTTTCAATCTCTTTTCTGGTCAAGACTGCTGTACATTTTTTGGTTAACCAATTTTCAGCCCAAGCCAAAGTTCCTAAGCCCAACATATGAATTACCGAACTATGTGTCCTATATGACGTTTTTTTTTTTTTTTGGATAAAGGTGTCACAACTAGTTTGTGCGTATCTTAATAAATCTTAAGTTTTATTGAATATATACAAGTCTAAAAAATCATATAACTTATGTTATTGTATAGTGACCTTAAGATTTAAATCTATAAACTCAAAAAAAAAGCAAACCTCTTTACTTGCCATGGACCACCCCCTGGGTTCCTATTACATGTTTCAATCTCTTTTTTGGTTAAGACTATGTCATTGTCCCAAGCCAGAGTCCGTAAGCCCACATATAGTACCAAACCGAAGTCCATTTAATATTGAGGCCCGTATTGAGGGGACCCATGGAACAGTCAGTAACTTTTCCATAACCTTTTTCAGAACTCCAGGATCTTGTGATTTTTTACAGCAATAGTTTTTTTCATAAAACATTTTTGAATCATCAACCAAATATTTTAAATGTCATAAGAGTGTATAGAATAACGGAGACCACATTATTCATGCAAAAAACTAGCGAGTTAATGTCGATAGAGACTAATTTTTGAATAATATGTCAATCTCTATTTCTAACAAATTGGTTTCATTATAGTTTATATTTTTAGATCTTCTAAATAAGTTGACATTTTAATAAAATTATTTTTATGAAACCTAAAACTAAACCTATGTGATTGAGTTCAAACAAATAATCAGCTAAGTGTTTATTTGTGAAAAATGCTTTACAGGACATAATCTCAACCAAATAGAATGTTTTTCTTACTAATAATTATTAATCAATTGTGGTGTTTTCTTGATTATAAACTGTTACCTTCAATATTGGAGAAGTGGGAAATGCTAAACACAAATCATTTTAGCACAAATTATAAAAAATCTATGTGATCGAATGTCGATAAAATTCTTTATCTATTATTTAAAATTTTGAGTTTGAGTTTCTCCTCATTACTAATGTAGTAGCATTGATGAGTTTATTCAACGTATTTCAGGATCTCAAAGTTAGTTGATTATTATAAATTGATCAAATATCTCTATCTAAAAAAAAAAAAAAAAAAAAAAAATTAATATAACATGTTTGTTAACACCTAACGTGTTCCCGAACTCATTACGCAAAAAACGTACACGGGACTAACTGATTTTGTTGTCCGTGTGGGGCTTTAGGCCACGTAGCCCGAGTCTCCAATCCGTCGTGGCCCAAAGAGCACCACCACCCAGCATTTTATCCATGCCACGTGGAATCACTTCGATCTTTAAAACCAACCTAACTTAACATTTGACTATCAGGGAGTTTCACTTTTGACCAATCAATTACCACTTGACCTCCCTGATTTTGTCTAAATAGTTTTAATTCTATACTTTCCTCGTAAATTTTATGCATGTTTTAGAATCTGAGAATTATTTTGTAAAAAAAAATGAGAATATTATATTTTATGTTATTTTGTATTATTATTGAGCAAAAATACTGTTTATAGATGATGAGATGTCATTCATTTAACACTTATCCTAGACGAATCATTACTAGGTTAATGAGTAACGAATACAAATAGAATAAATATAATTATCCCTTTAATCGTTTTAAAACCTTCTTAACTCAATAAGGATGGCATTTCGTAGTTACCTCGAATATCAAGGGTATGAAAAATACCATTCCTCCTTTCTTTTTACTCAGCTCCCACTGCGCCTCCTCCCATACTAGTCTCTGTCTCTGCGATCTATCAACTATTCCGAACTTGCCTGTAAGAAAACAAAAGACAGAGAAGAGATGTGGCGCTGCGTTTTTCTCGTGGCCTTCGCTTCCTTCTCATTCGAACCGGTCGATCTTCAATGACTCTGTTAGATCTCACATTTCCAGATTCTTCTCATCTCATTCTGTATGCTTCTCTCTCCCGTTTTCTTTTTTCACCTTAGGGTTTCCATTGATTTATCGCTTTTTTTTTCTGTTTCAATTTATAATTTCCTCCTAATTTTATTTATAATTACTGGTGTTATTTTCACACGGATTCTAATTGATTATATTATTTTTCATTTTCTTTCCAACATTATCTCGTTTTTTATTTATTTTAAATGTTTAGTTTTATTAACGTGTTGTGATTGGTTACCTTTTTTTATGCGGACAGAGTGGAGATACCCCATAGTGGATCATACATATGATGCTGTTGTTATAGGAGCTGGTGGTGCTGGGCTGAGAGCAGCCATAGGACTCTCAGAGCATGGTTTCAACACTGCTTGTATTACCAGCGGTTCCCAACTCGTTCTCACACTGTTGCAGCTCGGTATGGCAGATTCATTTAAGTTTTTGCATGCACCGATATTTTTAGACTTGCGTGTTGATTTTATTAATTTATTTGATTTTCCAAAGTTTGTCATCATATATGAAATTTTCTACATTTATCTCGTTATGCGATTTACAAGTGATCATTATATGTGGACGTCGACTTGCATCCTTCAAGAATTTCATTATTCCAATCGAAATTTTTTAGTTGTATATTTTGGAAGGGTAATATCTGCAGCAATAAACGTGATCACAGTTATTGTTGTTTTGAAATTCATCAAGATTGTTCTCATTGTTCTTCCCAATGTCAATATTATTGTTCTTTTGGTTTTCTTCCTGGATACTTGGTTGAAGGATTCAATATCGCTGCATAACTTTCATCTTTTGTAATAATTGCGTACAGATTTTTATCAATGTAACATTATGATCTCATCTTCATGTCACTCTTGTTTTTCCTAAATTAGATAGTTAACTTTATACAGGGTGGTATAAATGCTGCATTGGGAAACATAGTGGATGACTGGAGGTGGCACATTTACGACACAGTCAAGGGCAGCTTATGGTTAGGTATGTCAACATATAAACTTGAAGCGTCTTTTCTGTGCATTTGCTAGTGACAGGTAAGTTTCAACATTCAACCATGCAGATGTTTCTTTACTGTTTTTTTTATGTTTTGTCTGTGCTTATCCATTTTATTAGCTCCTTGGTAAAGAGAGTAGATGGATATTTTTGTGTACTGTACCTCATGGTGGTTTGCTGTGAATTATAAATATAAATTGTTAAGTGGAGGAAGCAATTAGATTCTGCGAAGCTAAGGCTTGATGTACACATAGATACTTGCTCTTCTTCTAGTATTGGAGTGCATCTGGTGCATTACATTCAAATACTACTTTTATAAAATTTT